TTATATAATTGGATGGTTATTTCATTGGTAACCTTTTGATTAGATATTTAAGTCATTTCTAGGGTTTGTGGGGTTTTCTTCCATTTTTGTGGCCTTGCTCTCTTTTTCCTGCCTTGCACTTCACTTAATGATGCTGAGAAATAGGACTCAACCTGGAGAATCTTGCTTTATGGGTTCCTCCAGATAGACGAGACAAGTACACACAAGGCTTTACCTTCACCCACAGATTAAGTTCAGTTTCTGATTGTTGATCAATAGGCAGCTGATATGTCTTTCTACCCCAGCATCCACATTAGGGATCTCGAAGAGAAGTGACTCCTGTGGCACCTACCTGTCCTCCAGGCCTCTGTCCAGGCAGGCTGTTCAGTGGACTTAATGCTGATGATAGTTACCCTTGGGAATGGGCAGTGTTCTTTGTACTTAACTATGGTTGGCCTCCTTTTCCTTTGAATATCATTGTTCTTCTGTGTGATTTTATTCCCACCATAACACAGAGTTTCAAAGATCAGTTGAAGCACACTCACCTAAACATATCATGATCCATTCAGTCCTTTTGGTCTGGCTCTGTAAAATATACCTAGTTTCTGAAAATTGAGCTATCAAGTTGCTTTCTTATACTTGGTCATAAAAGAGCAAAAATAGTCCTTTCCCAATTTTGGTCTTTAGAGAATTTGGTAACCTTGACACTGTCTGATGCTTCTGTGCTTCTAAGTGACATTGTCAATGAGCTTCAGTGTGTCCATATCTGGCTGTTCCTCCTACCACCTGACCCCTACACTTCCCTCTACATATGTCTGTTTGCAAGGCAATTTCTGCTTCTGAACCTGATCATTGAGTGTTCTCTTTTGCCATCTTTCCTGATAATTACTGGACTGGCCACCTCTCTCTTCCTTTGTTTTTAAGGTCTTAATTATGGTATTAGCCTCTCCCCTTATTCTGGCAGTGAATGTAGCTAAATTGAGAAAGTACATATTTGAGAGATGTCTTGTTTAATTTTTGTATTTTCAAATGTTAATGGACAATTTAAAATGTTTTTTCTTTTTTCATTGTTAGAAAATTTCCTAAGCTCCATCTGTAAATTCTTTATTTCCCTCATTGGTCACTTTATCATCACTGAAAAATTCAACAAATATTTACTAATCCCAGCCACATGATTTTCTGGGCCTTGAAGATACAAACTCCCTACCCTCAAGAATCTCATTTCATTAAGAAAAAGCTGATCCCAGATGTAACATGTCAGATGGAACAAGTGTTCAGAGGGATCAAACAGGAAATGGGAGCAGGCAGTTGTATTAGTCTGCTTTTCATTACTGTAATGAAATACCCAAGAAAGGCTGCTTATAAAGAAACAAAGGTTTATTTTGCTCAGAGTTTTGGAGGCTGAAAGTCTCCAAAAAAGATTGGCTGGATGGAGCCAGTCCAAGGCTTCTATAAACAACCCTCCTGTAAGAGCTAACCAGGGTCCCTCCATCCCTCCTCTTTTATTTTTTTTTCTTGTCGGTCATGGGGCCTGAACTCTGGGCCTCAGTGCTGTCCCTCAAGGCTAGTGCTCTACCACTTGAGCCACAGCGCCACTTCCAGCTTTTTCTGCTTATGTGGTGCTGAGGAATCGAACCAGGGCCTCATGCGTGCAAGGCAAGCACTCTACCACTGAGCTACCTTCCCAGCCCTCACCCCTCCTCTTAAAGTTTCCGTAGGTTAGCTGGGCACTGATGGCTCATGCCTGTAATCCTAGCTACTCAGGAGGTCAAGATCTGAGGATGGTGATTCAAAGCCAGCCAGGGCAGGAAAATCTGTGAAACTCTTAATCTCCAGTAAGCAACCAGAAAAACCAGAAGTGGTGCTGTGGCTCAAGTGGTAGAGCACTACCCTTGAGCTGAAGAGCTCAAGGACAGCTACCAGGCCCAGAGTTCAGGCCCCATGACTGACCAAAAACAAAAATAAAAAGGTTCCACAAATTCCCAACAGGTGGACCTTGGGAAATCACATCTAAACCATAGCAGGAGTTCAGAATGAGAGTGTAGTTTGAAATAATAAGAGAAGAGCTCACCAGAAGGAAGTTGAACAAAACCTTGACGGAAGTAATGCAGAACACCCTGGGGGTTTAAGGAGGGAGGAATGCTCAAAGCCTGTGGGAATAGCTGAGGCAAAGGCACCTAAGAGGTGCCCCTCTAGCAGAGACCACTGAGGCTGGAGGGAAACAAGAAGAAATGAGTCAGTGAGGCCCCAGGAACCACTGGTTGTGAGGGCTTTTAGGCTATTGTGGGACCTTGCCTTTTCATCTGAGATGAAGAGTGGTGGACAGTCATTCATAAGAATAAGGACAGTCATTCATAAGAAACCATATTAATATGGTTTGTACTGTGATGTATTATTGTCACATTTTTCAGGAGGATTTATGACTGAGTGAAATTGCCTTTCTATTCTTTCCTCCTACTATAAATATTTTCAGCTCACTTTGGAATCAGAACTGAATATAAGCAACCCAACATGTTCTCTTCTCACCCCCTCTCTGCCCCCATCTGCTGCGTACATGCAAAGAGCATTAATTAATGCAATTTTAATAAGCTTTCTCTTTAAGTAGCCAAACCTAGCAATAATTTTAGCCTTCTGAAAACTCTTTCTCCATCCTGATTTAAAAGATCTATTTAAACATCATTATTTCTTCTAACAAAAAAGAGAGGTAAGGCATAAAGTGAGATGTGAACTGTGTTTTAGCGAAATTAGCACACTGCAAATAACGAGCAGCATGAAAGGAATAAGTTGAAAAGTATATTGACCAACTTCCATTCAAACATGACTTTAGGGTAAAATAAAGGATGTTAAGAGACTTGTACCTTGACTAGAACAGGACTAGTGTGATGGCCTGAGCAATCTGGAGGAGGTGTTATCTGTTGTCTTCTTCTTCGTTTATTACCAGGAAGCTCATGGAAAACTTTATAAGCTTTATAATGTTCTCTAAGTGAATTTTTACATTTTGCTTTTTTCTCCTCTATAACTTTTTGTGTATGTGCTGGGCTTGAACTCAGGGCCTAGGTGCTGTCTTTGAGCTTTTGTGCTCAGGGCTAGCACTTTACCACTCAAGCCACAATTTTACTTCTGGCTGTGTGTGTGTGTGTGTGTGTGTGTGTGTGGTTGGAGGTAAGTCTCACAAACTGGCCTGCCTAGGTTGGCTTTGAACCACAATCCTCAAATCTCAGCACCTGGTTGTAATTTTTTAAAGTGCCATTTTCATAACCTCTCACTTCCCAATTCCTGGGTTTACAGGCATGTTACCTGTACACTCAGCAGTTTTAAATTCTTAATTTTCTCTTCAGCTAGACTGACAGCTACTTTATTTCTCTGATAAACATGAAATGAACAGTTCTTCTGTACTTTATACACAACTCTTAACTCTACAAAATTCTGAAAACAGAAAATCTTACCCAAAAAGTGGGTGTTAAACTCAGTGAGAAGCAAAACCTGAACTGAAATAAGACAATTTAAAAATCTGCATTTGTCTAACTGCAGTGAAAACTCACATGCTTTCTCCAGAAGTGTAAGTTTAATTACACATGCCTGCTGATTCTCTTGGCATGGGTGTTCCATAACATTTGGTGTATATTTCTTAGTATTATCTGAAAGGGCCCCACATGCTTCAGAAGAGGGATTATGAGCTTGCAGTAGCCAATTCCTAGAATAGTGTAGGTGCCGAGAAAATGTGAGTTGAAGTGAGATTTGATTAATATGAGGTACTTAGAAAGGAGAAATGTCTCCATAGCCAGACCTAGTGACCTTGAGGCCTCAAGGAATAAAGTAGATGATTCAGTCCTTAGAAGCTGGACACCAAAATGTTTCTTTAATTGTTCTCTTAAGGTTATAGTAATTGGTCTTTTGTCAGGCTAATAAATCTAGGGTGAATGAAACATCTTATCAGTTAAAATTATCTGTTAGTATCCTAGAAGGTTCATTTTTGTGTGATCCCTATATTTTTTATATCATTTCTGTTCCTTATCACTTGCATCTTTCTGTTTTGGTTCAACATTTCTAAAGGTGTCACATCAGCTTTTTGAATACTGGTGATTTAATTGCTAAAGCACACATAAACAGTTTGAAAGGTGTGAAAAGAAATTCACAAGTCACGTAGGGAAATACCAACAAAGCTAGCATTCAGTCTGGAATTCATCCACAGTGCAAAACAAATTGCACTGCCAAGGGGTCAAATAGCATACCCTGAAATTGAGTGAAAAGTGCCTTTGATATATGAAACATTTGTTTCATACCAGAGATACAGTGAATAATACCAAGACAAATTTAGCATAAGCTTCGGCCTCATAGAACTTAAATGTATCCAGAAAACAGGGCATGTATATGAAATAAATGAGATGCACCACAAAAACTGACAGAGGAGAGATTTTGGAGCTCAGGAGATGGAGAAAGGAGGTGAACATGGATCAGAATTGGGCAAACACAGACAGTGGATTTGCAGAATATGAGAATGAAAGCCAGGCTCCAGCGGCTGGCCCTTGTAATTCTAGCTACTCTGTAGGCTGAAATCTAAGAATCACAGTTCCAACCTAGCCCAGGCAGGAAAGTCCATGAGGCTCTTATCTCCAATTAACCTCCAAAAAGGTGAAAGTGGAGATGTGGTTCAAGTGGTAGAATGTTAACTTTGATCAAAATGCTCTGCAACAGCACCCAGCCCCTTCCAGTCCAGGACCAATGTCCCCCCCCCCCCCCACACACACACACACACATACACACACACACAAAAGAGGAGAAGAAGAAGGAAGAGGAAGGAAGGAGAAGGAAAAGAGAGAAGGAAGAGGATGACTGACCAGGTCTTTCCGGAAGCTCTGTGCTTAGTGATAGAGATAGAAATAAGCACATTTTTATGGCAAATGACCCATATTATAATCTGAGCAATGGAACTGCAGAGAAGACTCATGATCTTTAGGGAATCTGGGAAGCAGATTACTTGAACTCTCAGTTAACTTTTATGTTGTGTATTGTCATTGCAGGTGAATCAAACATCACTTCTGGAACAGTACAGAGTGGGAAAAGTTTGCAGAATAAGAGTCAGTTTAGGACTATTGCACCAAAAATTGTGCCCAGAGTCCTAACCTCTAGAGTACTGCCATGTCCTGCACCTCCACTGTCTGATCAGGGGAGTCTGGGGTCCCCCCTGGCCTCCAAACCCCTGGCAATGCCCACCCACAACTATGCACTGATGCAGGTGGCTGGCCAGGAGGGGACATTTTCTCTCGTGGCTTTGCCAAATGTTGCCTCAGCCCAGCCAGTTCAGAAACCCAGGATATCCCTGCCTGAAAACCTTAAACTGCCTATTCCTCGATATCAGCCTCCAAGAAATAACAAAGGATTGAGAAAGAAACCCAGCCTGGGTTCTCCTGAAAGTGGATGGAGCAGATTTCCTGTCCCAGCCCAGACATGTCCTCAGATGTGTCCTTCCCCACCTGCCCATCTAGAATTTCCATGCAAACCTAGTCCTCTCAAACAAGCACCATCATTAGACCAAACCCCAAGCAGCATGAGCACAGCTCCACTGACCACCAGTGGTGGCCACAGAGACTCAAGATCCCCAGTGGCCAGCAGCCAACAAGATTGGAGCCCTCCTGCTATGCCATCATTGGCCACTTCAGAGGAACTGTCTGTCATGCAGAGCCTCTCAAAGATTTCTGGGAAAACAAGCTTTCTAATCAAGGAAACAGCCAAGAAACCTCCTGCTGTTGCCAGTGAACAACTTGAAGCACAAGCTGATGATACGAAATCCATGACCAATTTATTACCCACCATTTTTAGCAATGCAGTTCAGTTGGTCTCTTCAGTTCCTGCAGGAAAACTACCAGTCTTGCCCTATACCAGAATAAAAACAGAGGTTTGTAAAAGTGAATCAGATACCTGTGCTGCAGATTTTTCTCTGCCTGGACATAAGACAGACTGTGCTCAGAAATCTTCTATTACGGGAGACTTCCATAAAGCTACCAAAAAGGGAAGCAAGGTACCTGTTTCACAGATGTCAAAGCAGAGCCTTTGTGAAAACGACTTTTGTCCAGTCACCAAACCAGATCTCAACCACAAAGCCAAAATGAATGGGGGAACAGCAAAGAAAAGAGGAAGGAAAAGAAAGGTAGCAGATGAAATTTTGGCATTTCAGGGGAAAAAGAGGAGGTGCCGTATTAATAAATGTAGAGATGGAAAAGAAAGAGCAAAAATGGATCCTCAAGAATCTAGAGACCAAAAGCCTGGGACTATGAGAAAGTACCGTAGTATTATGCCCAAACCTGTCATTGTCATGCCTGCTCTGACCTCCCTGGCTTCTCCTACAGCTCTGTTACCACCCCAAACACCCGGCAGCTTACAACAGGACACCTTATTAAGTAGTTCACCCACTCCTAAATACTTCACCTATAAGCAGAATGACAGCCCATCCCCTAGACCCAGCTCTGGACTCAGAAAAGGGTTTTCTGGCATTAAGAAGCCTTGGCACAGATGTCATGTCTGTAACCACCACTTCCAGTTCAAGCAGCACCTTCGAGATCACATGAACACACACACCAACAGACGGCCCTACAGTTGTCGGATTTGTCGCAAGGCCTATGTACATCCGGGCAGCCTGAGCACACACATGAACCTTCATCACAATGAGAACCGTCTGAAGAAACTGGTGTGCTGTGAGTTCTGTGCAAAAGTGTTTGGTCACATCCGAGTCTATTTTGGCCACCTGAAAGAAGTACACAGGGTTGTGATCAGCACTGAAGCCTCCACCAGTGACCCGCAGTCAGGGGACATGCCGAAGAACAGAGACAGAGATGCTAGTATGCGAGGAATAGAGGGATCCCTGGAGAGGTGAGTGCTCAGTGGGTGCAAACTGGGAAAGAAAGCCATGGAAACTTAGGAAAGAGGGTGAGATTTTAAATTCAGAAAGATTTGACAAACATCTCAGATTAAAATTGTATAAGGTAGCTACCCACTCCCCTGAAGTTTGTCAAGAATGACTTCATTCCTCTCTGCTTTCTGACCAGTCATAATATTTCATTTCTAATCTGTTCAGGGCAAAAATGTTGCTTTGAAGTGTGAGTGGGGACAGTTGGGTAAGAGAAGATTATTTTTGCATCTGAAAATAGCAAAAATACAGTTAAGTTAGTATAAGGAGATGCAGGGAGTTTTCACAGGTAGTTTTTCTTGTCTTCAGCATTTATACCTAAGCAGCATCAGCTGTTCTATGGCATGAGTGACCCATGTCAGGTCTTCAGAGGTTTGCACATTGTCCCCGAAGACAGCCAGATCACCCTGTGCTCTATTTTTCCCATCAGGCCAGATTGACTTTTTCCTGTGAAAGCTCTTGCTTCCTAGCATTATAAACAAACAAGCTACATAATTTGGCAGGCTGGAAGGCATGCGTAAGAGCAGTCATGAATTTGGGAAATGCACCTGGTGTGGCCACGAGTGTCTACTTTTTTATTTCTTTTTTTTTATTAATAACCTTTTTTATTGTGAAAACACCATACAGAGGGATTATAATTACATGAGCAAGGTAATGAGTACATTTCTTATCAAGCATTGTTGCCTCCTCCTTTGCTTTTCCCCTACCATCATCCCTGCCCTCCCATCTCCACAACTACACTCTGCCCCCCAACCCCCTACCCTACCCCTCCCCCCTCCCCCAAAGTTGTAAAATTCGGTTTTAAACATAGCATTTTGTACATCTCATTGTTACAATAGGTCCACCTCTATCCCTATTTAAACTATTTGTTTTTTTTTCCTTCCCCTCCCCAAATTATACCAACATCAAATACAGTGAAAACTGGAGTTATACCGTGGGGGAGGGACATATAAAGCAACAAAACAATCACCTTATAAATATGTTAGAAACAATAGCAAGAAAGAAAAAAACCACTTGTGTCCTTACCTTGGGGTTCATTTCACCTAACATCATCTTATCTGACCTTTTCTGCTTGACCCAGACATATACTAGTTATTGCAAATAAGGGAAACCATGGGACCTATGTTTCTTTGGGCCTGGCTTACTTCACTTAATGAAATTTTTTCCAAGTCTTTCCATTTCCTAACAAATGTGGCAATGTCCTTCTTTCTGATGGAGGCATAGAATTCCATTGTGTATATGTACCACATTTTTTTGATCCATTCATCTACTGAGGGACATCTGAGTTGGTTCCTGTATCTTAGCTATGGTAAATAATGCTGCAATAAACGTATTTGTGCTGGTAGCTTTTGTATGGTCTTGTTTGTGATCATTCGGGTAAATGCCCAAAAGTGGGATTGCTGGTTCATAGGGGAGCTCTATGTGGAGTCTTTTGAGGAACCTCCATACTACTTGTTGGTGGGAGTATAAACTTGTTTAACCACTGTGTCTGCTTTTTTCTAAGAAAACTAAGAAGTCAGGCATTTTCACCAATCAGTTCTCATTACACTGTGGGAAATCAACCTTTCTGACACTTTTAATTCATGGGCCTTGTTTGTTTGCTTTTTTTTATTGTTGCAGTTGCTTTAAATGTTTTCTGCTTCAGTTTATTCCATCATAATCAGTACAAATGAAGGATACCTCTCTATCCTATTTCTTCCTTTCCTTTCCTTAGCTTTTTCCTTTTCCATAGGTATCTCTGTTCCCCTTTCTCATCTCTGTGAGAAATCCTCCTTCCCTTCTTACTTTCCTAAATTGTGTGCACATTTAAGAACATTGCAAGATTCTAAAAAATTCTAATTCTGGAAAACAAAGATTTTGAGTATGCACACACACGTGCGTGCGCACACGCGACAATACTTGGGGCTTAAACTCAGGGCCTGAATGTTGTCCCTTACCTTTTTATTCAAGGCTGGCACTCTACCACTTGAGGTATAGCTTCATTTCTGACTTTGTGGTAGTTAATCGGAGATAGGACTTTCACAGACTTTTCTGCCCAGGCTAGCTTTGAACCATGATGCTTAGATCTCAGCTTTCCGAGTAGCTAGGATTACAGGCATGAGCCACCTGCGCCTTGCTGTTTAAGTAAAATGTCCAAGCAGCACATAGTGCTCAAGGCTAGGGACATGGGATATATGAGAGTGGTCTTAAGTACCCTGCCCTGTGCTAAGCACCTGACTTTGCTGTGCTAACTGCACAGATGCAGATGTACCCTGAGAGCCCTGGGTGGGGGTGATGACCTGAGTTTACTGGTCCTGCCCAGCCTTTCTCTGGGTACTCATCCCTTGTACTTCTCCTGGTGTCTTATAGATTCCTGAAGGATCTATAAGATCTGAACTGAGAGGAAAAAGTTGTTACTGTGTTTTTCCATCAGGGTTCATATACAGTATTTGTGGCCTTTTCAGGGAAAACAAGTCAAGCTTGGAAGAAGACATCCTTCTCAACCAGGCAGAAGAAGTCAAATTGCAGATCAAGTGTGGCCGTTGTCAGATCACTGCTCAGTCGTTTGCTGAAATCAAGTTTCATCTGCTTTGTGTTCATGGGGAGGAAATTCAAGGCAGGCTACAAGAGGGGATCTTGCCAGGCAGCCGAGCTGCTCAGGAAGCACTGGTTAAACACTCAACTCCTGACTGGAAACCGCACCCAGAGAGAAGAAAGCAGGTGAAGCCCTGTGCCCCAGAGGCGTTTCCGAGACTGAAAAAGCAGCTCTGCCTCCATCAGAAAGACAGTGTGGAGACACTCCTGGACAACGAAGTGGATCAGCCAGGAACAAGCGAGCCCCAGGCCCCTGACTGCCCCAGCTCCCGTACCCTTCTCCTCTGGTCTGATTCAGGCTTTAACTGTCTCCTCTGTGCCCAGACACTGGAGAGGAAGGAGGATCTGCTCCTCCACTGGGAACACCGCCATAACTGTGAGGATTCCTCCAAACTGTGGGCTATCTTAAGTGCATTCGCTAACCAGGGAAGGATCGAACTTTCCCATGAAGCTGGAAAATGATATCCTGAAGCAAACTGGGCTAAAGAGTTTTCCTAGCACCTTTCTTGCACAGCTTTGGGGTTTCTGGTGGTACTTCATTAGAAGAAGAAAATAAGTTAAGATCAACCTCAATGAACAGAAGTGATTTTTGTACATAGTTTTATTTTCTTATAAAATAAAATATATGCCCTGGATGCACTTTTTTTTAACCACAGTCAGTCTCATTTTAAAATTATATGTATGGACTCTTAATATCTTAGGCTTTATTTAAGAATAAGTAGAAAGTAAAAATTTAGAGACTGAAATGTAGAAAATTATAGATGGTTCTTTACATACAATTTTCAGTAAGTGTCAGGGGGAGTTCATAAAGAACACAAAAAGTGTGTGTGTATGTTTTCTGCTTATATAGATCAACAAATATGAAAATTCTTAGGAGAAAATTCCATTTCAGTGGCAACTACAGTGTCAAGTTAGATGATAATGTTGTTGTTTATTAAAATATACTTTATTTGAATATGCTACGAGAGAAGTCTTGTTAACACTATTTTTATCTCCTATAACTCAAAATCTTTGTTTTCCAGAATTAGAATTTTTTGTAGTCTTGCAATTTTATTAAATGCACAGTTCCTTGAAGATCAGTTGTTGGCAAATCTTATAGCTGTAGTGTTCCATATGAAAATAATAGGAAAGTTATAGTACTTTAGCTAATGAAAAAAGAAATGTACTTTCTTGGTAAAAGAATATTTTCAAGAAGTGTTTGGGGCCAGAAACTTTACAACCTGGAAAGTGAACTTAGATAGTCCAGTCCAGATGTGTAGGTGTCTCAATGCTTTCTCTTATTCTCAAGTAACTTCAGAGGGTTGTCACTAGCTGATCAATTTTAGATACAACTGCGCCTTTCATGCCTAGGTTCTCTTTGAAAGTCAAGAGTAAATGACTGCTTCTTAAATTCCTGGGAAATTACCTAGAATCGGAAGAGTTGCCATTTGAAGTTTCTAGCTATCCTGAGTGCAAAGTCATTTTCTTAGAGGGTGTGTTTGAGCACGCCTGCCTCTAAAATTGCTTCCTTTGGATGAAAGCCCTGTGCATGTGGCTGGCCCTGTTGAGAAAACATGGCCCAGGAATGGCTCTAACATTTTTCTGTACTAAGGAAGCTACCCAGTAGAGGAAGAACTGAAGGAGTAGAGACTTAGAGATAGATGAGAGCAAAGGAAGGCTGAGTGCCAGTGGTTCATGCCTTTATCCTAGCTGCTCAGGAGGCTGAGCTCTGAGGATTGCAATATAAAGCCAGACCAAGTGTGAAAGTCCATGAAACTCTTCGTCTTCATTTCCTATCAAACAGCAAAAATGCAGAAGTGGAGCTGTGGCTCAAGTGGTAGAGCACTGGAAAGAAAGAAAGAAAGAAGGGAGAGAGGGAGGGAGGGAAAAGAAAGGAAGGAAGAAAGAAAGAAAGAAGACAATGCCTAGGCCCTGAATTCAAGTCCCAGTATTGGCATACACACACACACACACACACAAAATAAGTAGGCAGACAAAACATAGGATTGGCTCATTATTGCACTAGTAAGTTTTAAGTCATCTTTTTTAATGTCTAGTTTTAAAAGTAAGTGCTCATAGATATTAAGTGGCTGAAATAGAAAACAAAACTCAGTCCTTGCCTTCTACTACAAGTAGTTTTGGAAATTTGAGAGAACAAGGGTATGTTTAGGATTCTTGAAGGATCTTGCCGTGGTTTAGCTAATTGATTACATTTATCACAGCTTCAAAGAAATTGTGAGACTTCCTGCATGATATTTTTAGACCTCTCAGATTAGTAAGGAAGTATCATGCCCCTCAATAAAGTTGTTAGTTTTTGAAAGACTGGTCTTAAAGATATAAAATGAGAGCTACCAAAAATACTATTTTAAATTCAGACCATGAATTCATACTCTGAAATATATGCACAGTCCTCAGATCCAAAGTGAGTGTGTCAGAAGTACTAGCCAATTGGCTGAGGCCCAAGGGATGAGTCTGGCATGTATGGAGGCCGAGCAGAATGCAGCCCGCAAGTAATGATAAGGCTGATCTTTTGGTTGTGGAGACACTCAAACTGTGACTATAGTTTAACCACATAGTTATAAAACATAGTTTGGAGAGGAGTAGGGACTTGGGTGGGGAAAAAACCAAAGGTAGGCAGAAGGTAGGATTAGTTCATGATCAAGTGCCCAGGCTTGATCTTCTAGAATCCATTCAGAGCAGTGGCCATAGTGACCTGCCTCACTAAGTGAATGCAGGTCATCAGACTTTTGATCTATAAGGTAGGAAAGAAGACAGGGAGGAGTAGAGGGCAACATTCATCTTTAAGAAAACTTTTCATGAGAGAAGACTTGGCATGGTATATGGAGTCACTCAGAATATAAGGGAAACACTCCCTGCATGATAGTAGGAGCAGCCCCAATACTCCCCCAGACCTTAATAGCAGTACTTCTTCCATGAGAAGGGTGGGAAGAAGGGTTCATATTGGGACAACGTGGGAGGAGGAAATAAGAGGAACTAATTTAGCTAAAGTAATGGTGGGATAGCTCAAGACCTTCCTTGAATGTGAAAGTGTCATTGGCACAGTCCCAATAAAGTGTTGTAATCCTTCATCACTGTGATCTTAAAATAGTGCCCTTCCCAGGGCTCCATTCCCTGCACACATTGAGAGTGATGGTCCATCCCCACTTCTAGACATTGTTGTGAAGAATCCATGAAACACAAAATGTCTGAATATTTGGATCACATAGTACCAGATAAATGGTACTTACCATGACAGAAAATTTGGGAGGAAAGAAAGGTATATTATACCATACAAAGGTAACTGGAAACAGCCCAGGTAGGCCTTAGGTACAGATTTCCAGGACAAGAAGTCTACTGAGAGACATAGAAATGTATACCTTTTCATTAAAGGTTTCTTTTGATTTTTTAAAATAAGTAGTAAATCTGGGATTTGGAAGGCATGCGGGTTTGGTAAGTGTCCAGCCAATCAGTGTAGAAAGCAAGGCTCACTAAATGATTTTGTTCCAGGCCTTACTGTGAGATTAACAATGCCCAGGTCTCCCTGTGGCCAAGCCTGTGTTCTCCCCTGGGTCCTGGGTTTGCTGTCCCATAGTACTCAGGTCCCCTAACCAGAAGCTGACTGTGGCCTCGTCTGCTTCCACACTGGACCATAAGCCTCGTGAGGTCAGGGCAGGTACATTATGCCTTTGTTCAGCACTGAATCCTTGATGGACCAACCCCTCTTCCATGGAATAGAGCCCAGTAGATATTTGTTAGGGAAAAAAATGAATGCGTCAACCAAATGCATGATTATGCTGTGGCTTTTGGTGAATAAGCCAGCATTAGAAACAACCAAATATGTAGCTAGAAAAGCATGAGACAAATTTGGTCTTCAGTTCAGCACTTTCATTTGACTTAATATCTTTTGCTCCTTGGAAAATTGTCCCAAAGCCAGAAAAACCACGATTGTTTTCTTTTTCTTTTTCCCCCTTTTCTTCTAGTCCTAAATTATTTCTGAAAGTTACAGCATTTTAGATTTGTATTGTTTTATTGCCTGTCATTTTTATTCACCTCCCCTTTTGTTGCACACACTCTCTCTCTGGATCTCCTCCTAGTTGAGTCGGTCTGTTAAGCTGCTCCTCATATGGAAAGCTGTGTCTTCATCAGCAAACCGTAAATAATCAAACCTGGGTACGTTCCATTGCCTTCTCTGGCTGCAGACTCCTCCCCTCCCCAGCTGCATGGCTCCAGTTTTCTGTGGCCCCAGTGACATGACTGTTGGCAGTAAATGTTCAACTTCATTTATTTATTCGCATTCTCAGATCTGGACTGGCTTGCTCCATTCAAGCTGCTGACATCCTTTGTTAGGTATGTATTTTATAGAGTCTCCATTTTTACAGAGCTCCTGAGGAAAAAAGAGCCCTGGGAAAGATGAACTAGGATATAGCAGAGCAGATTTTAGCTTTCAACTTTGGACTGACTTTGCTGATGCTGTACAATCAGCAGCTTATCTAGGCTTGTGGTGCCATCTAATATATATTTTAACTTTCTACTTCCTTGGGAGGCAAAATGTCCCTTGTATTTTGAGCTTGGCCATTAGTCACAGTTATCCCCAGAATAAAACTATAACCACCATTCATCAGGCATATTGTAGGCACACATTGGCTTGGGAGGACATTATATTTACCATACTGTGAAGTGTGAAAGTATTTCAATATGTTAGTTAATCCTAGGGAAAAACAAGAACTGTACCCATTGAAGAAAACCAAATGTGACAACTCAATGTGATACAAAGACTACTTATTCTAATTTGGATGTGGAGCTAAATAGAGTTTTTCTTAAGCTGAGTACTCAAGAATTCTCCATTTTTAGTACATCCCAAACATGAACACCAAATAATAAGCATTATATTTTTATGAACCAAATATCCTACTTAACAAAAACAATGAGAGACTTTCCCTTCTCTCATTGGGTATGAATTTAATCCACACCTAGAACTTGCAACAAGAACCACCAAGTGTTCTGTAAGCCTTGGCAGAGACAGAACAATGAACATGGTCTGATCACTACTGAGTAGCAGTATAGGTATCATCACACAGACTGGATATGGAAAACATCCAGGTGATTCAAACACAGGCACTACACAACTACCCCAAAGCTCTGGCTATAAAGAACTATAGAAAGGTGTATCCTTTGAAAACTTTTTCCAGTCTAATCCATACTGAAGCATGGCTACATTTTTCATAAGACTTTGGATTGAGCAAAGCATTTTTGACAGTAATTAAACCCAAGAAAAGTTATGTCAAAATGTCCAAGAAGATGGTATTTTGAACTATGTTTATTTCTACTACCAGGTCCTCAAATATGCTAGGCAAACCCTCTACCACTTGAGCCATGCCCCCAACTCTTTTGCTTTTATAGTCTTTCCAATAGGCTTTTACACTTTTGCCTTGTTTAGCCTTGTATGGTAAATTTCCTACCTCTCCCTCTCAATTAGCTGGAATACTAGGTGAACTACCATTCCTGGACTGCATTCTTTCTTGAAGTAAAAAGCTGGAGAGAGGGTGAAAATGTGGCCTGAGTATTTTGGGCTTATTTGCCAAGGGAAGTCCCAACTAGGTACTACACAAGTAGAGAGAATCTGATGCCAGTGTCCAGGCAGAAAGACGTCATGAATATTTTGGTGCACTCTCAATGGAGAAAAATTGAACAGTATCAGTACACAAACCTTTTGATCCAGGAGCCTCTAGGCATATGGCTTGTAGATATTACTGCACAATTGCATGTTCACTGGAGCATGTTCACTGGAGCATTGTTTATAACCAGCAAACAACTGGACATAGCTATCATCATTAAAAATATTACAGATGATCAAAAATATCTCCCCCTCTAGAGAGCTTCTAAGCAAGTGGGTGTCAACCCTTCCTTCTCCTCCCAGCCTGGCCTTCCTGCTGAATATCCTGCCATCTGCCAAGCCTGTGGAGTTGCATGGTCAAAGAAGAGG